GATCAGCACAGAGGTTGTTTCAGGGTTCTATCTGTGAGTTACCCATGCCCTGACTTTGATCAGCACAGAGGTTGTTTCAGGGTTCTATCTATGAGTTACCCATGCCCTGACTTAGATCAGCCCAGAGGTTATTTCAGGGTTCTATCTGTGAGTTACCCATGCCCTGACTTAGATCAGCCCAGAGGTTGTTTCAGGGTTCTATCTGTGAGTTACCCATGTCCTGACTTAGATCAGCCCAGAGGTTGTTTCAGGGTTCTATCTGTGAGTTAGCCATGCCCTGACTTAGACCAGCCCAGAGGTCGTTTCAGAGTTCGATCTGTGGGTTAGCCGTGCCCTGACGTTTATCAGCCCAGAGTTTTTTTTCAGATTATCTATACAAATTGATGTTTGACTATCAACTATAATATATAGTTGATGCACTCACTTATTGTATAGTATTGTATCAGGTAACCAAATATCCGAGGCTTCTAAAGATATTGACTTGATTCCATCAAAATCATCAGGATTCCAGGCCATGATTTCATTCGTCCAGTTCTTTAGTGAGTGAAAAGTAACAATAATATTTAATAGAATTTGTTAGAAAATCCTTGAAATTATATGTGAGTAGAGTATAGTTTGTAAGAGTTCTCTGTTGTTGTTGGGGTTTTTTTTCTTCAGCGTTTGTTTGTTTGTTTTTGTTTTTTGTTTTTTGTTTTTTAATCATTAGGGCATATCATTATTGCTCATCAAGTTAGAATATATGAGGGAAATCAATGCAAGTTATTAGTCTTTGACAGACCTGTTGTATCCACATGTTGAGACTTAGCATCTGACGGACTTCATCCTGAAATCAATGAAAATACAATACCAACGTAACTCACCTGGCGTAACCAAACATTACAAGTCAGTATCTGATATTTTTCATCCTGGAATTAAGAAAGATTAACGATCGATAAAAACTAAAGTAACGAGGTTAGCGTGATACCTGACTCATTGCATGACAGCGCCCAGTTGTTCAAAGCCCGATTAACCCTAACCCTTGGTTAACTCTTAATAATACCTATAGAGTTAATCCTGGATTAGCGCTAATCCAGCTTTGGACAACCCGGCCCAGAAAGATCTCTTTGATTAACATTGGGTCTTGGTAAAGTGCGAGTCCGATAGTTGCTAGTTGCTAGTTGCGAGTTGTTGAAAAAATTATACTTTAACGATAACTTCACACTTGTAAAATTATCAAAATCATGGTTATCAAAACCCAAGCAACAAAAGTTTCTCACAGCAAAAAAAAAAAAAAAAACAGCAATAAATTGGCAGATACAGTCAATTCAAAAAACGTTGTCGTCGACCG